GGGCTTGGCCGGATAGGCCCGGTGAAAGCGGGACACTAGGAGAGGAGCATGAACATCTCGAGCATCCACCCACCAGCATTCTTCAGGACCATATCCCACCCAGTCCACCAAGTATTGTAACTTGCGATGATAACGGCGAGAGTCCAAAATGTCTGCCACTTCGAATTCTTCTTCTCCATCGAGCAGAATCGGGGGTGGCGGAGGGGCCCCGCCAGCATCCGGCCGGACTTCCGCGGCGGGTCGGAGCAACGATCGATGAAAAACATGCCGCGCGGAAGCTTCAACTTAAAGATCACAGGATTTAATTGGTCCACCACTGGGTATGGCCCCACAAAACGAGCGTCAAGCTTCCGAGAGGGGCGTTGTATAGGCAAATGTTTGGTGGACAGCCAAACTCGATCCCCCACTTGGATCGGTGGACCCGGCTGCCGATGGGTATCCGCCACCCGTTTGTAATCCTCTTTGGCTTGTTCCAGTTGAGCCTTTAAAATCTCTTGAATCGCTGAAAGTTCCTGCAGCCAAGTGGTAGCGGCAGGGACCTCTCCTGACCCCACCACTGAAGGAAAGAACCGGGGGTGGTATCCATAGTTAGCAAAGAACGGGGCTTCCTTGGTCGACCCGTGAGTAGCGTTGTTATAAGCAAACTCGGCTACAGCAAGAAGCGATGACCAATTGTCCTGCTGATAGTTTACAAAACATCTCAAATATTGCTCAAGGGTGGCGTTGGTCTTCTCGGTCTGGCCATCAGATTGTGGATGGTGCGCTGACGACATCCGACTCTCGATGCCCAACTGCCGCTGAATCTCCTTCCAAAAGTGCGAGGTAAATTGGGCACCGCGATCGGTCACCAAACTCGTTGGAAGTCCATGAAGACGGAAAATGTGACTCAGGAACAAATCGGCAGTTTCTTTGGCAGTAGGCACTCTCCCGCAGGGAATGAAATGTCCTATCTTGGTGAAAAGATCCACCACCACCAAAATGGTGGTGAAACCTTGAGATTCTGGTAAATCTGTGATGAAGTCAGCCGACACGATTTCCCAGGGCCGACTCGGAGTGGGTAGAGGTTGTAGCAAACCAGCCGGTTTGCCCATAGAGTTCTTGGCGCGGTGACAAACAGGGCACCCATTGACATATTTCTCGACCTCTCGTCGGATCTTGGGCCACCAAAAGTCTCTCAGCACCAGCTGCATTGTTTTAAAGATCCCAAAATGCCCTGCTGGCTTGGTGTCATGGCATAGTCCTAAAATTTCCTCCCGCTCGGGCCCGGGCGGTACATAGACCTTTGAACGATGACACAGCATGCCATCTAACTCCTGAAATGGGAACTTTAGTCCGGCCTGTAGTTGCTCTTGCACCCAAAAGTCCTCTTGCTGCCGCGCTCGGATCTTTTCAGCCAGAGTCGAAGGGGGCCCCGATACGCCGGTGGACGCAAAGTTTTCTGGGCGCAAAATGCAGGACTCAGAAGAATCTTCTTGGCCCCGAGTATACTCCGGCTTGCGCGACAAAGCATCCGCCTGTTTGTTTTGAGCCGCCGGCACGTAGCAAATCCGGAAGTTGAATCTCTCAAAAAACAACGCCCAACGCTGCTGTCGTTGGTTTAACTTCCGGGAGGTACGGAGATATTCCAGATTGCGATGGTCCGTGTGGACTTCCACTGGTTGCATAGCACCCTCTAGCCAATGTCTCCAAGTCTCAAACGCCGACTTGATGGCTAGGAGTTCTTTTTCCCAAATGGTGTAATTCCGTTCGGGGGCAGTCAACTGCTGGGAAAAGTATGCACAGGGCTGGAGATGATCTCCCTCAGGTTGTAGCAACACTGCCCCAACCGCCACATCCGACGCGTCGGCCTGCACCACAAAGAGCTTAGTTGGATCAGGATGTTGCAAGATAGGCTGAGAAGTGAAGAGCTTCTTGAGCTGCTGAAAGCTTTCCTCAGCCGCCTCAGTCCATAGGAACGGCCGTTTGCCTCTCAGGCATTGGGTAATGGGGTCCGCCCAGCGGGCAAAGTCTGGGATGAACTTGCGGTAGTAGTTGGCAAAACCCATGAATCTTTGAATGTCCTTTCTACTCATGGGGGACTTCCATTCTAACACCGCGGAAACTTTAGCGGGGTCCATGGAAATTCCCTCCGCAGAGATGCGGTGTCCCAGAAAGTCCACTTCGTCGAGATCGAAGGCGCACTTTTCCAGCTTAGCATAGAGTCCATGATCTCTCAGGCGCTGGAGCACTGCGCGCACCTGTTGCGCGTGATCACGTGGATTCGTGGAGTAGATCAAGAAGTCGTCCAGGTAAATGACCAAAAAACGGTCTAAAAAGTCACGAAAGATATCGTTGACGAAGTGCTGGAACGTGGCTAGAGCGTTACAGAGCCCGAAACTCATGACTCTGTATTCGAAACTTCCGAAGCGGGTCAGGAAGGCTGTCTTCCACTCGTCCCCTTCCCGGATACGCACCAAGTTGTAGGCCCCCCTTAGGTCCAATTTGGTGAAAATCCGGGCCCCTCGCAAACGGTCGAGAAGCTCCGGGATGAGGGGGAGTGGATAACGGTTCTTGATCACGATGTTGTTCAACGGCCGATAGTCATTGCAAAGCCGCAACTCCCCTGACTTTTTCTTGACAAACAAAACTGGGGCCCCAGCCGGCGA